GGGGCGGGGACCCCCAGCGCCGCGCTGCGCTGCGCTGCCGGGGGGCGGGGGGCTCCTAAATGCGCCTCCTTGCCCGCCCTCCCTCTCTCGCACCGCTTGCAGCGGGGGCTCGCAGGGCCAGGTGCGGGCACGGCACTGACCTGCTGCAAGCAGAGACATGGAAATGCTCAGCCCTGCTCACAAACTGGAACAGAAGACGCGCTTTTGGGGGGTTTTTGTGGGTTTTCTTTTTTGCTGTAGTCAAAACCAAGCCCTGGCATGTATTGAAGAGGGGGCGCCTCGACTCCTCTGTGAAGCCAGGGGTGCATCGGCGAAGGAAAAAAAAATAGGGTGAGGACCCACGAACCCATACTTCAAACTTCACGCTGCCAAAAAGCTCTGTTGAACTCGCTCTCCAGACAGGTCACAGGGCTTTTATTTAGAAATACGTCGCAAATGAAATGGCTCGGCAGCCAAGGAGATAATGACAGGGTACGCCTGACCCCACTGACAAGGTAAAAAAACACAAACCAAAAAAACCCCCGAAAACCACAACTGTAACAAATTGCACAAAGCATTACCGAAATAACACGGACCGTACACTAGCGTCGTCAAAAGATTAACAGGTGTGTGCTAAAGAAACAGTGAAGAGTCTAGACATACGCAAATATACCCAGTTCACAGGTTGCTGTACAAAAGCAATTATAAATACTTCACCACTAGAAAAAATACACAGAACTCTTGAAATAGATTTTTCCCGTACGTATAAATAGTCTCTGTAGAAAAAGCCCCAGATATGTTGAATTAAGCTTTGTTAGCACCAAGGTCTTTGTATTTGTTTTCCTTAGCTGTAAATCAGAAATATGAACGGTATTTCAATTTTTTCCAGGATTAACCAATGGCCTTGAGGACAAAGTGGGTCTGAGATGGTAAAAAATCAACCCACCGCATTCAGAAATGATTCTTGTTACATGGTTATATAAAGAGCAAAGAAGTAGGGATGCTTTAAAGTACATCCTGCCATTAGAAATAAAGGCCAGATCCTGCAGTCGTGTCAGGAAAAACTCAAATTGAACGTCTGTGATGGTGATCTTTCTCGGTTACGCACATGGGTAACTTTACAATGTACAAAGTCCTGGGACTACTTACATGCCACAGAAGACAGGGCCTTTGGATCCAATCATTTTCTTATTGTATCAATCATCAAAACCCTCTCGATGTATCAACAGACACACTGTGGAATTGCACCAACTAAAATGCACGTAGCCCTAGCGAACCTTAAGTGAACTCGTACGAAAATGAAAAAAAAAAAATTAAAGTGTATGTTGTAAAATGAGGGTCCAAGAAAGTTTATTACAGACAATTTGGAAGGCTCAGGTTTATGTTAAAGCAGTGTTCCTACATACAGTTTTAAGACTAGAACAATTATAAATCTTTCTTTAAAAATCTACTAGCTTCTCTTGTTAATATGAACATCGCCTTTTAAAAGTTAGTCATCTGCCATTCCAGAAGAATGGCGCCACTTTAATATTTATTGCTGTCATTTTTTCTACAAATATAATTTGTTTTCAAAAAATGTACAACTTCTGTACAAGATTCATAAAAGTGCAAAATTAAGACATTTTGTATAACAGCATTTTTGCGTTCGCTTCTCAGTCTCACGCATCACAATAAACGCAGTCTCGTCTTTTCTTATTGCTGTATCATGATGATAAGTCACGAAATTCCCTGCTGAGAATCCAACAATTTAGGCTGAAGTTTTTCAACAGTTGTTTCTTTCCTTTCTTGCTTGCTTTCTTTCTTTCTTTTTTTTCCAGTTCCTTAAGTGCTCCATTCACAGCCCACTGGAAAGTGTCTTTATACATCATTAGAGCCTTGGCTGGCACAAGATGAGAAGCTATCATATAAAGAATCACTCAAGGATTCTAAATTGTCTACACCATGCCTATCAGAGCTATTTAAAGAAGCGTCTTCATTCTTTCCATTTACTTCCTTTTGTCCTTCAACCTTGTTCAGACAGTTCTTCTCTTTTTCTAATAAAATCATATTATTGCTGTTAAATTTATTGAGTGACTCCAGGGAAATTTTAGATAATCTATTCTCAGAATCGTCTTTTGTTTCTTCAGTTTGCTTCAATTTCTGTAACAAGTAAGGACAATATTAGAAACATATTTCTTACAAAAATAAAGTTCTCCTCCTGTACGGAAATAATTATCGTCTGTCCAAAGTTCACTATGTTAAAGGAATCGATTGCTAGGGGTTTGTAGGCTTACTCCTCCATTATAATTAAATGGAATAATAAAGTCTGTTTTAGGATAAATCATAGCTTTAATGATTCTGCTGAGACAAATAGGACCCAATTTGCAAAACAGTTAAGTGCCATTAACATTTTAAGTGGCAGATTCCGGAATTTGTATGTGTAAAGTATCCCCAGCCTCTTCATAATAATTTATATCTCTCGTCTCCTTCGGGATTTATTTTTTTTTAACGGTAAATGAATATCGTCTATGAGTAAGTTTTGACGTCTGCCAAAAAAACTAACATGCCATAGACATACTAAGAGCAGAAAAGTGGCATTTTCCATAAAGTACAGGCACAAATGAAACTTGCTAGAAAATAACCTCACATTTTGCATGTGTAAGCCTATTGATTTCCATGAACCAAAAGACTCCCTAATAGAAATGAAAGCAACAAGACAGGAAATTACACTGAACTGGTCCAATCCCTACAGACCGGAATCAATCAGATATTGGCTAGGTTTACACTGGCAAGTGTTGTAATTTTCTTGAAAAAGCCGGACAATGTATTAGCGCATTATATTAAAAATGCACAGTAGGATTATACAAGAGTAATTTTATCCCTTTGTTGGTTCCTGGAATTTCCAACCAGAGATCTGCTCAAAGAACAGTTTATCACCTGTTTAGGGAGCAGTTCAATAAGAATGACCAGTCTTTTTTTTTTTCTTATGCTACAAACTCATGTAACAGAAAATATTATAAAAAAGAAAAAGATAACATTCAACATTTTATGTTGAGAGACCCAGGGTGCAAAGATTTCAAAATGCCCTCAGGTACATTTGCTATCATAGATAACAGCCCTTCCTCATTTACTGTATTAGTTTTGGAAAGCAACAAGTGGATCAATGAATTATTGGCAAGTTGAGAACGAATACTGTTACTTGGTTTAGGTGGGAAATGAAATGATTAGTTTAGGCTCATGCAAGAGTATAGTGTAACTGGACCCATGGATGATTAAACCTGTAGTCTAACTCCGGTCATCAGCATTTGTGAAAAAGATTGTGTTTTGGCATATAACAGGCTTTGTTCCTCCCTTGCTGCTCTGTCCTTAGAGAACTTGGGCGACAGAAGACAGATTAGATGGAACAGGATGCTTATTTTTAATGAGCAATTATGTAAAAGTGTGTGTGTGGGGGGGAGGGATCTATCCAAACCATCCTTAGTCTGTCCACCAAGTTTATCATATTTTATCATGCCATATAATATTTTATTAACTAAAAGGGACTGGACCAGGTAAGGTTCTTTAGGTAGATGTGATATCTTTTATAAGTCTGACTAAATAGTTGGAAAACAGTTCTTTGCAAGCTTTCAGGCACAAACACCTTTCTTCAGGCCTTGGGAGACTTTCCTGCTCTTAACTGGACCAGGTAAGAACTTAAGTGAGACCTTACAGAAAAACTCAGGTGAACTAAGACGCAGTGATGTTAGTTGATGGGACCCCTTTCTTTAACCAGTAATAAACACCTGACTCTGCTCCAGGGGACACTGTAGTCATAATGGTGCCATTTTTGGGATGGTACATACCACAGATCCTTTACCCACTGTGTTGATTAAAGATCTCACAGTACGTTCTGAAAGTGTAGGAGTGTAGTCTCTGGTATTGTGGCCAAATAGCTATTTGGGAGGTTACCCTGGACAAACTACCTTGTTCAAATTCCCTGGAATTTGCTTGGAAGGATCGCCATATGTGCTATTTGTAAAACATGAATATAGAGCCTTTTATGCTAGAGAATATCAACTTTGAAAACATTTTGCAATATGAAAAACTGGTTTATGCATTTGAGTTCTGTGGGGTTTTTTTCTTTTTAATTGTTTTTTCAACTTCACTTTGGATGAATGAAGGAACGATTAGCACAGACTGAAGAATACACATCAGGTTGTTGGGTGCCCATTGACTTCAGTAAGATTAGGGTTCCTTCCCTAATTTGACATTCATTTACCCTGGGAGAAAGTATTTTGCCCTGGGACTTATGGGTACATGGGTTGATTGCATGGGACTATATTTTGTTTCTGTATTGTACCCTGGTAAAATAACAACAATACCTCGGGTTGGCTAAAAGACAGAGTAAGTTGTAGGGGTGGCGAGGCAATTAACTGACAGTATTATGCAGGTGTTTCATGCACTGCTGACAGTTGGAAAAAGTGATCATAAGGACTTGGATGTCATCATCTCCTTCACTTAACGCTTGTTACTGAAGTGGAGGTAATAGCATTTGTATTTAGCTTTAAAATATTTTAGGATATAGGGTTGCCATTTTATCCATGTCTGACTGCCAAAGTCAATGGTCTAATCTGATATACGATAAGAGAATGGTCTGGCTCTTCTTTCCTCTAACACATTACTGCAGATGCACATTATACTGATACTGTTTGGGTGATACGTGCAGTAATTTTTACCATTCTTTTTCATTTGATG